AACCCACACATCTCCATACACATATATAGAAGTAACTAATATTTGTACTTTCTTGTGTATCCTTTCAGAATTTCAAATATATGAACATGTGTGTAGAAGCAAATTTGAATATAGGGTTATACCCATCCCACACTCCCAAGTGCACTACTCAACAGTATACCAAGGAAATCTTTCTAAATTAGTCCAGAGAAAGCTTTTAATTCTTTTTTTAAAAATTTCATACTAGTCCATTATACTGTTGTACCAGAATCTTTTAACCTATTCTCTATTAATGAACATTTAGTTATTTCTACTGTTTTACTATAACAAACAATGCTCCAATGATTGACTTTGTTTATAATAATTTCAAAAGTATGTATATACATCTGTAGGATAAATTCCCAGAAATGAAACTACTGGGTTTGGAATTTATATATCCAAACTTCAAAAGAGCATAATGATTAAAAAATAAAAAGTTCAACACAGTTCCAGTATCTTCTGGATGCATTCTCTGGGGTCTTCTTTCCATTAAATGGAATAAGGAATGGAAAATATAATGCACAGTGCACATTATCATTTAAAAGTTGTTACTCACAAAACACAAATGAACAAGAATGATCACATGTGCATTATCAACCATAGTCCTGGGAGATCTCTGTGATTATCGTAATCTCTGTTCTGCCAGTCTGTAATCACATGGATTGTGATTCTGTCACATTATCAAACAATTTGAACACCCTGCAAACCACATCATTACCATGCACTATGTTTTAGCTGTTCCTTATTCATTACCATGGCATGATTTTAAAAATGGATAATCACTGTTTAAAAAATCTTTGAGAACAACACAACCACTGAATGCCTTGGGTGCTTGGACTCTCAAATTCTTGGAAAGCTGAGTGAACTCAGACTATTATATTTTATATCTATTATATATTATATTAATTATATTATATGCTATGTAGAATAGACTAAGAGAGTTGTTTTATTTCTTAGAAGAAATTATATAAACAAAAGTTCTTGAGAAACATTGCTCAGAAATTTTGAGGCTGCCAAAGAATCTTCTAAAGATCTCATGCTACCACTCCTAGTAGTAGTAGATGCCTAAGCTGAGACCCAAGCGTAGAGACGGGCAAATGAAGTAGTAGAAAAAAGGGAAATCCATGCTAACATCCTCAGGATGTTTGTATATGTGCTTAAATTAAGAAAGCATATTACTACAGTCCAAGAACTAGAGACATTAAAATGTGCCTGAAAGAAGGTACTAGGAAGCAAGTGGCAAAGAAAAATCAGGGAGCTGAAGGGCAGCAGCACAGCTGTACTATGACTGGTTTTTGGGAAAACAAATCCTTAGAGACAAAAGACTTTGGATTGGTATAGAAATACTTTCTATTATTCATTTTTTGCCCCAGTCTGCTTACTGCCTCTCTGTGAAACCCACTCTCTCAGAAAGTTATATTGGATAGCTAAGGAAAAATATGATACTGTGATATTTATTGTGATGCTGTAATAATGTAATAATTATAAATAATGTAGCAGATAAGTAGATAAGACTGCCCCTTAACATTCAGTCTGCCTTCATTCTAGTGTATCTTCCTGAAAAGCAAAGACTAGATAGAAAGCGATAAGTCTGCATTTCTTAGGCTCTTCTGCAGCTAGGAATTCAGATCTGATAGAGCGTCAGCCAAATGAACGCACTTATAAAAGATCTGAAGGCAGAAGTGAGATGGATCTGTTCTGCTGTTTATAAAAGCAAAAATGGCTGGCAGAAACTTTTAATTTTTCTGTGGCTGTGTTTTAGTTTCCTGTAGCTGCTGTAATGAATCTATCACAATGTTGGTGACATAAAACAACAAAAATTTATTCTCTTATAGGACTAGAAGCCAAAAGTCTTAAATCAGTTTCGCTGGGTTGAATCAAGGTGTTGGCAGGGTTGTGCTCCCTCAGAGGCTCTAGCCTCTTCCAGCTTCTGGTGGCTGCTGGCATTCCTCGGCTTGTGGTTACACCACTCCAATCTCTGCCTCCACAGTCACATTGCCTTCTCTTATTCTGTGTGTGTCTAATTTCCCTTTGCTTTTCTAAGGATACTTCTGATAGCATTAGAGACCACCCAGATATATCTTTTTCTATATGAGGGCTTTAGTGCCTAGGGCGAAAGTAAAAACATTTCTCAGTAGGGCTGCCATTGGCATTTTGGGTAATACTCTAGTTGTGCAAGACTATCCCAAATGGTGAAGGATTTTTAAATCCCTAATCTACACTTACTACATGCCAACAGTCCTCCAACCCATCATTTTGACAATCTAAAAATGCTCTTATACAATTTTTAAAGGCCTCTCCCTGTAGGAAGAAGAGCCCTTGTCTTAAGAAAGGATAGTATAGTACATATATCCTAAATATGTAAACATAGTATATATATTCTCTTAATTCTCCATGCTAATGAACAGCTTCATGATATATAAAAAAGTAGAAAACAGGCAAAGAATGTGTATCTCTTTCAAAATTGTCTGAAATAACTATATTTTGAAATACCAAATAATAAAACATATATAGAAATTTAACTGCCCACATTCTGCATCTTAATTCCATTTTCTATTAATTCTATTTTCTACTCATTCTGGGAATGAGTTACATGGACGATTCCATTTAGATTCCATGTAAAAGTATTATTATGGACTGCCATGGTTCTTACATTTTAAAGAGTGTGTGTACTTTATGAATTATATTTGTCATAACTGATTTCCCTAAACAGGATGGCTCCTAAAGCCAATGACAGATGTCCTTATAAGAAATATAACTGCCTAATCGGAGCTTTTTATCAGCATTAAATCAAACACCTTTAAAGTAGTTCTGTAAATAAAATTTCACTCAAGCAAAAAGATCCTGACATATGTAAGCCTATAAAGCCTTATTAAGCATAAATATGACTTTCAAGATATTTTCCCCAATATTGACAATAATTTACATTTAATAATAGACATCTAGGAACTTAATAGTTAAAGAAGATTATGGGTCAGGAGCTTCTAATAAAATTGTAGACTGAAAAAAGAATTCTATATAATCATAGATTCATATTTCAGTGTTAATACAAGGATTTAAACATAATAATTTGTCTGTGATAAAAAGCTCAAGCTAGATTCTGTTTCTCTAGCCTAGTGGGCCAAGAGGGTAATATTACAGAACTTCCCTTTAACAGAGGACACTTTTTATTTTTGTGTATTAAAGGCCTCTGCAGGAATTTGGGTATATCTTCAGAATAGAAACAACTTACGTCTCAAGTAGAAAAAATGAATAATTTTGGAATAGGCACATAGCTCCAAGCCCAGATCTGCAAATACAGGAGGCTTGGAGATTCCTAAAGTTTTAGAGGAAGTTAGCCTTCATCAATAACCAAAATCATAAGAAGATAAGAAAAATGTTTCAATGTAAGTTGTAATGCATCCCAAAAACATATCACTTAAGTTATCCAAAAATATATCACTTAAGTTATTCGAAGTGTGTTAATTTAGCAAACTTAAAAAATGGCCATATTTAACCAGGATGGAAATGTTTTTATTATAAATGTTAAAAAGTACAGCAGTTACCATGGCTTTAGAAAAACTTTCTCTTTCTAGTATATAAGACATAAAGAAAAGAACCTGATTAATTTTAAAGTCAAGCTCTGCTAAGAAATGTCTTCTATTGCTTATTTCACAGTGTATTAGTTACATCTAGAGTATTTTTTTAGACTACAATAAAATTGAAGTTTTATTCAAGTAGTTATACCTACCTATAGATATTTCTTCTTCAAACAAGACATAATCAGGGGAGTTAGGAAACATTTGGAGGTATACTGCACCTAAGTTATCAACTGTTTAAACAAATAAACAATTAATTAAAACACAAGTAGCCTATATGGATTTTAAATAAATGTGTTTTTCATGGGTGTTTATTTTTCTTAATAAACAAAGGAAGCATATTCATTTTCCCTGATTATGTGCATTTCTAAGACCTTCTATGGCAAAACAATGTCCACATACCAGAAGAGAATTAATATTTACTGACTTGAACTGAATAATATTTATTGAATATTACTATGTAAACTATCCAATACTGATAGAAGAAAACATGGTTATGCAGAGGGTATGAGAAACACAAATTTATGCAAAGAACGATGTTTTCTGTGTTGCCTACAATAATGATTAGATATAGATGTGAAAAACAGCAGTGATGGGGAATAATAAAATCAGAAATGGCAACACTAGGCATTTGGTGGATGTTGAGCTGCCCAAATCTAAGTTACAGATTAACATATAAGTATAATGGAAGTGTAAGAAACAGAATCACAGCATTTTGTTAGAACTTATTATATCTACTATAATTACAGATAAACATCTATCAGATAACTCCTTCAAATATCTGGATTACTCAAACCACAATTAAATATTATTATAATTTCTCATTAATTTCCTGTAGTAGGTTGAATTACGGACCCTCAAAAGATAGATCCACTCTTTACACCCCAGAATCTGTGAGTGTGACCTTATTTTGAAAAAGGATCTTTACAGATATAATTAAGAATCTGGAGATGAGATCATCCTAAATAGGATGGCTCCTAAAGCCAATGACAGATGTCTTTATAAGAGAAAAGCAGAGGGAGATTTGAGTCACAGGTAAAGGCCCTGTAAAGATAGAGCAGAGATTACAATAGGCAGCTATAAGCCAAGGAACAACAACTGCTGGTCACTACCAGAAACTAGGAGAGACACACAGAACAGATTCTCTCTTACAGCTTCCAGAAGGAACCAACTCCACCAACAACTTGGCTTCAAACTTATGGCCTTCGGGACTGCAAAAGAATAAATTTCTGTTGTTTTAAAGCTACTGTTTGTAGTAATTTGTCACAGCAGCCCTAAGAAACAAATATACTTCCACAGAATATTCCCATAGAAAGTTTCATATGAAACCAGTCATATTTAGGATCACTGAATACATCTTAGAGCAAATCCGAGTGGAATGAGTGAGCTAAGTGCTTGCGTGGTTGCATCTCGGAGACTGGTAGCACTTTCAGCATTGCTGACCAACTGACTGAAGAGCTGACTACAGAATTCAAAGAATCTTTTTCACTATTTGATGAGGATGGTGATGGAACTATAGCAACAAAGAAACTGGGAACTGTAACGAGATCTTGTGGGTAGAATTCCACATAAGCAGAGTTACAGCACATGATTAATGAAGTGGATGCTGATGGTAACAGTACAGTTGACTTCCTGGAATTTCAGACAATGATGGCAAGAAAAATGAAGGACATAGACAATGAACAAGAAATTACAGAAGCATTCTGTGTGCTTGATAAGGATGGCAATGGCGATATTAGTGCAGCAGGGCTTCACCATGTGATGACAAACCTTGGAGAAAAGTTAACAGATGAAGAGGTTGATGAAAAAATCAGGGAAGCAGATATTGATGGTGATGGTCAAGTAAACTATGAAGAATTTGTACAAATGACAGCAAAGTAAAGACACTGTACAGAATGTCTTGTACATTTCTTGTACAAAATTATTTGCTCTTTCTTTGTAACTTATCTGTAAAAGGTTTCCCTTTACTGTCAAAAAAAGATATTCGGGTATAGTAATTAGGACTTCATTTCTCCATGTTTTCTTCCCTCATCGTCTGTCATTGTCCTGATACCTTATTTCAGAAAACCGATCAAGTAACATGCTGTATATGGCTTACTGTGGATATATCTACACCCTTCTGCACCTCTAAATTTATACGGAGTTGGTCAAATGAGGGAACATCTAAGTTATGCCTTTTTAAAGTAGTTTTCTTTAGGAACTGTCAGCATTGTTGAAGTGTGGAATTGTAACTCTGCATACACTATGGACAGTTAACAATCTGTATTTAAAAGTCTCACTACTGCAAGATGAGAAAACTATCCAGGTACTCATAAGCTATTTTTTTGTACTGCTAGTCCTGTACCAGAAACATTTTCTTTTATTGTTGCTTGCTTTTTAAATTTTGTTTAGTCACCTAAAGAAAATCTGCTTATGGCACAATTTTCCTAAAATTCATTCCAAATTGTATATTTGTTTTCCAATTATTATTTTTTTTTTACCTAATTCTGCCCTCCCTCCCAAAAAGAAGGCATTTTGTCCCAGGGATGCAAGGATGCTTCAACATTCACAAATCGATCAATGTGATATGCCGCGTTAATAAAATGAAGAATAAAAATTGTATGATCATCTAAATAGATGCAGAAAAAGCATTTGACGAAATTCAATGTCCATTTATGATTAAAAAAAAAAAACCCTCCCAATAAAGTGGTTCTAGAGGGAACATACATCAACATAATAAAGACCATATGTGACAAGCACACAGCTAACATCATACCTAATGGGGAAAAGCTGAAAGTTTTTCCTCTAAAATCAGGAACAAGACAAGGATATCCATGTTCATCACTTTTATTCAACACAGTATTGGAAATTCTAACAGCAATTAGGAAAGAAAAAAGAAAGGCATCCAAATTGGAAAGGAAGAAGTAAAACTGTCTCTGCTGGCAGAAGACATGATATTAAATACAGAAAACCCTAAAGACTACACACACACACACGCCCATATGCCCACACACAGACTGTTAGAATAAATGAATTCAGTGATGTTTCAGGATATAAAATCAATATACAAAAATCAGCATTCCAGTTTTGTGAGATGAAGAATTCTGGAGTTTGCTTATATAAATAATATAAATGTACTTAACACTACTGAACTTACACTTAAAAATGTTACTATAGCAAATTTGATGTTAATACAACTAAACATTTTAAAAGCTTACTTCTAAAAATGGTATATACACAATGTGTAGTTATCTTGGCTAAACATAGTAAGCTACTGTAAAGTTGTACAACAAAAGTTAAATATTGTTAACATAAGACCCAATAATTCCACACCAAGGTATATGCCCAAGAGAACTAAAAACATATGTCCATACAAAAACATGTACATTCATGTTCATAGCAGCATTATTTATGATAGACAACACTGGAAATAACCCAATTGCCAATCAACTGAATGAATGAATAAACAAAAAGTGCTATATCCATACAATGGAATATTATTTACCCACAAAAAGGAATGGATTATTACTAATATGTGCTATAACATGGATGACTTTGAAAATATTATGCTAAGTGAAAAAAGACACAAAAGACCACGTATTCTATAATTTGATTTATAAAAAATGTCCAAAATAGGCAAGTCCATAGAGACAGTAAGTAGTTTAGTGATCACTAGAAACTGGGCATAGGAGGGTAATAGAGAGTGTCTGCTAATGGGCTTAGAGTTTCTCTACAGTGGTAATGAAAATGTTCTGGAGTTAAATAGTGGTAATGGTTGTACAATACTGTGAATATACTAAAAACATTGATTTTTACATATTAAATACATAAACTAAAAGGATGATATGTGAACTATATCAATAAAGCTGTTATTTTTCTAAAGGACAGAGAACCAGCTTAAAAGAGCTCTTCTAGCCAAATTTAGAGTTATTTTAGCATTAAAATAAAATGCCACAAGTCTATAATAATAAAAAGAAAATATTTTTTTCTTTTTTAACACAAGAATGTCAGTTATTAGAAAGACTGACAGAATTAGAAAATCACCATTTTATAACCCCTAATATAGTGACAAGTTTAGGAAAGGATTATTAATGCCTGCTAAAGCCATTAAGTAAAAAAGTTGCTGAATCACAAAATTATTTGCAGGGTTTCAGAGTACCTACCCACAGCTTACTTACTAATTACAAAAGGAAAATGTGCCTTTCCAACAAAGAGTGGCCACCTTAACTGATACTGTCTCTTGATGTGATACAATAGGAAGTATGCAATATCCCCCAAGAAGTATTCTTGCCAAAAATGTTTAACTCAAATGAAATGAACCATCTAAACCTAACTTCCAATTTCAAAATTTCAAGGGATTAAAATACAGTAATAAAAAAATTACACAAACCCAGAATGTAGGGACAACTGGCCTAGACTTTCTAGAAGTCAATTTCATGGATAATAAAAAGGTAGGAGAAAGGGAGACTATATTGGATTAATAGAAACTAAAGAGACAAAACAATCAAATGATATATATATCAGCCTTGACTGGATTCTGTTTAGGAAAAAAGTCATACAAGTCATTGTGGGAAACTCTTGAGCTCAGACTGGATATTTGCTGATATTATGGAATTACTATTAATTTTCTTGGATTTGAGAAAGGTATGCATCTTGTATTTCAAGAGGTTTATGTGGTATTTGCAGCTTACTTCCAAATAGTTCAACAACAAAAACGACAAAATAGAGGATCTATCTACCCACTCACCTATCCATCCATCCATCCACCCATCCATCCATCCATCCATCTATAAAGAAAGGAGGTAAGGAGAATAGACTTTGGGTGGTAAGCACACAATAGAGTATAAAGATGTTGTATTATAAAGCTAGACACCTGAAATTTATATAATATTATTAGCCAATGTTACCCCAATAAGTTTAAGTTTAAAAAAAAAAAATTTTTAAAGAAGAGGTGGAAGAGAAGGCAAATTTGGAAAATGTTAATTATTGAATCTACATGGAACTATAAGGTATTAATTGTAAGTCTAAATCTTTCGCCATATACAAAAATTTTCATATGAATAAGCAAAAATAAAAAAGGAATTGTTATCACTGCTGTCAAAACACTAGAAGTGAAAATAATAATTGAAATGGGGAGGAGGAATAAAAGCTACCCAAAGTCAAAACACAGTACCACTTTTTATTGCCTGAACCATCTCAAATGTTGTGTTGAGAGGTCTTAATACATAACTATAAATATTTAACTATCCAGTAACGTCACCAATAGGTTCTTTGACTTTAAGCGAAATGATGTATAACGAAACCAATTTTACCACAGGCTAATTGATATAAACAAGAGTTAAGTTCCTACTTAATATCATTATCAACATTATAGCATCTCCTCAATATTATAACGAAACTACAATAAAAGACATCATTTGAGCACCTGCTGTATATGTATTATCTATTGTTAAACAACAAATTACCTTAAAAGTTAATGACTTGAAACAATACACATTTATTATATCAGTTTCTGTGTATCAGGAATCTAGGATCTTTCACAAAGCTGCAATCAAAGTTTAGGCCAGTGCCATACTTATCTCAAGGTTTAAATACAGAAGTAATCTTAGAAGCTCACAATCTTAGCTGTAAGATTCAGGTCCTTGCAGGTTGTTGAAACTGTGGGTTTCAGTTCCTTGCTGGCTGTTGGCAGGAGGCAAACCTCAGGTCTTTGCCTCTTCATCAGAGCAAGCACACAAGAGCCAGAGAGAGGATACCAGCAAGATGAAGGTCATGGTCTTTTTAAAACCTAATTACGAGAGCGATATCTTATCACTTTTGTCATATTCTATTTGTTAAAATCAAATCACTAAGTCCTGCCCACATCCAGGGAGATGAGATTATACAGAGGTGTGAATAGCAGGAGATGAGAATCACTAGAAGCCATGTAAGAAGCTGCTTACCACAATACACATATATTTTATTCTCAGTATCTATTGTACTTTTGTTCTGTAAAGTTATTGCAAACACTAAAATTGCAAATACTGAACCACTCCTCCTATAGGAAATATGGAGTTAGGTTCCTGTGAGCCTCTAGTCAAGACATTTTCATCGACCCATCAATACATAACCTTTTTTATATGCGCTTCGGTTTAAAGACATCTTATTTACTATAATGCATAGTGTTAATGCATTAACATTGAACTCAGGGCCAATAACACTTTAAATCATACCTGAAAGAAGCGTACCTAACACATGCACTATCTCTGTAAGGTACATCACAGCCTTCTTGCACTTAGGAACAACAGACAGCACTTTAGCAGTAGAGACCCATTTAAAACCAAAAATCACCAACAAAAATTAAAAAAAAAAAAAATGTGGCACTAAATAGACTGTGAAGAGGACACTTCTTTATAGTATGAGAGCTGAAACAAGCATGGCCTTGATCAACCTTAGCTGGGAACACACATGTCAGATAACTCAAGTTTTTTGTTATTCTGTGCATGTCTGTAAATGACTGAGAGAGCACCTCAAATATTGATATTGGGGTTACAAATAAATTTTAACAAGTAATGAAAGTCATAAACATGGAATCTGGAAATAATAAAAATCAGCTATATTTTATTCATTGTAAAAACCTTGAAAAGTATACACTTGAGATGCCAAGACTATAAAAATAATTTAAGGAGGATACGGGACACTGTTAGGGTCCAAATAGCCATCTGATTGGCGTAACTGAAGAAAATCAAGATATTGAACAGCTATTTGAAGAAATGATGAAAAACTTCCCTAATCTGGTGAAGGAAATAGACATAAAACCCCAGGAAGCTCAGAGAATTCCAAAAATCAGGAATCCAAAGAGGCCCACACCAAGACACATCACAATTAAAATGCCAAAGGTTAAATACAAAGAAAGAATATTAAAAGCACCAAGAGAAAAATAAATAATTACAAATAAGGGAAAATCTATAAGACTGGCAGCTGATTAGAGTGGAAGGACAGATAAAGAGCTTTCCAGACAAAAA